CAGGGATGATGGTGAAGTTGGGTGCAGATATTGGATACGTGTGAACAGGTTTGGAGGCAACAATGGAAGTTTTTGTAATTTTGAGGTATGATTTGATGAACCCTATAAGCAGCAATGCTACAAAGAGTCTTTGCAGCATTATCATGATTTGACCAAAAAATAGTGGGAATATGAATGAGAATATAAACGACAAATTGCGGAGTTGAAGGAGAAACTAAAAGAGGCGGAAGAAGAAAAAAATAAGCTCGAAGAGAAATTTAAGTGGTTGGAGCAGAGAATAATAGGTAGTCGTGACTAAACAATGACATGTATGTGTTGAGTGTACTACTTTATCTTTATGTTTCCCGTGTCATGTATTTTCATTAGTTGTACTAAATTTAAATTATGTTAAGTTGCTATATTTGTCTTTGTGTTGTAGTATTAAAATAAAGAAGAAACGGGAAAATAAAAACATAATGCGCATATTACGTAAACATAAAAAATTATTGTTATTATTTACATAAAATACAAAAAAAAAAATCAATGTGTCCCACAGCTTTTGTGCTTCAGTGCAGCCGCTGGCCTGAGGCGCATTCCATCCCGCCACGCTATCAGGATCATCCTCATCATGTTGCCTCTTTATCGTAGGATGCGCTGCAGCATGATTGTCAGTAGTGCTGATAGGATCGATAGAAGGGGCCGTCGGTCTATCAGCAACCTACAGAAGAATAAGTCAGTTCAGTATATGAAAATATATATTAGTAATGTACGTATTAAGTCAAAAAAATTTAAATTGTCTTACGATGGTCTCGGCGGGCTCCAGAATATAAGCATCCGTCGTATCCTGGTCACCATCGCACAAAGTGGCCTCCGTGACGGGCGGGGATGAAGGCTTAATAAGAAGATTATAAAGTTATTTATGGTGAATCAATGAGATAAAAACAAATGTAAATTTAATAGTAATACGAGCATACCTGCGCCTATGAAAGACTCCCAACACCCGTCGATGATGAGCCATAACTCAGCCGGTGCCCACCATCCACATCTCGGGTCGGCCGATCCTCAGCAGCGGTCGATGGGACTGAAAAGTACTGCTCCCAATCAACTCTGGTAGTGCTCGTGCCCGTGATCAACAATGGATCTGACGGGGTCACCTGCGATGCTGCTGGAGTGAACGGTAGCTGAAGGCTAAATGACGGCAGATCAGCTCCAACATCCTCGTCTGGCTGATGGAGGTCACCCGGCAGATCAGCTCAACATCCTCAACAGGTGCCTCAGCAGGTGCCTCAACGCCCCCTTGCTGGGGACCACCTCCTCGCCGGGCCCCACGACCTCGTGGGACAGCCCTACCTCGTGGCACAGCCCTACCTCGTGCTCCCCTCGCTCGTGGGACAGGCCTACCTCGATGGTAGTGCTCTAGCGCCACATAAGCAGGGACGTGCACTAATCGCTCGTCCTCTCGGGCTCGATGCACTGTCCGGGCAGCCAGCTCTATAACCTGCCGCCCATACTCGTGCAAAATGGCCGCTCCCTCGCTGGCATGCTGCTACATCTGCATCTGCAGTCCCAACTGGTGGAATAAATGTAGACCAATAGCGTGCACAACATGTAAAATATAAATTACGGAACGCTAGGTCACAAATACCAAATAACATACCAGTGCCTCATACCTCCCGGCATATGGAACGTACCGACCACCAGCTCGATGAATGGGATTCCGGACGAAAAGTCGGGTAACGCCGCGGTACCAGCCCATATAATCATGCTCAGTATCCGGCCGACTCGGTGTAGGGGGGGAGGGGGCGGAATCAGGTCAGATCGCCGGTCCCAAGTATCAATCTGCTCCTCTAGCCATGCCAAATATGCGTCGTCCACCCTGGAATGATCATCCCGCTGGTAGTGTATGGTCTGCCAGGTGGGTGATGTCGGTACGAGCTGTGGACGGCCAAACTAGCGAAGTACCCGCTCGGTTGCATGATGCTCCACAATATCAAAGCAAATCAACGGGACGGAAGAGCCCCGCATAAGTCGGCCGGCCGAGCAATAATCGGGAAAGCCAGCTAGCAATGCGTCGCTGTATGGCGCCCAGATAAACTATTAAGTAACAACAGAAAACGTGAGTATACGCAACAAATGTGAAGCTATGACAAGTAAACTTAGATATATATTTACCTGTGCGCCCTCCAGCAAATCCAAGATATCCCTGCATAAGGAGAGATTATGCCGAGCCTCGTACTCATGCGTATATCCCCGCCAGAGAACCCACCTCCTAGCTAGAGGGAGAAACGGAGGTGGTACATTCGGAGCTAATGGTGGTAGAGGTGGCTGCAACTGCAGGAACCGCTCCCAGGCCCGAACCTAACATAAAAAGTTGATGAAAAATTTAAGATATATTTTTACTAGGTATGTTAAAATGAATAGAGTATTCGAATATGTTGTCACCTGTAGTAGCGGCAAAAATCTAGCAACGTCGCGATGGGTGCCCATGCTCGCCCGGCACATCTTCCTGTACAAGTAGGCGAGAACAGCAGCACCCCAGCTGTACTGGGGTAAATCATCTAGCTGCTCAAGATGATGAAGAAATCTCAAGCTGACTAGGTTCCCTGAAGTGTTCGGGAACAAGACCCTTCCAAACATAAGGAGTAGCAGCAACCTCGTATAACAGTGAACATGATAATCCGGTGTATCTCCATCGATGTCAATGCAATGCCTCCAAATACTCTCGAATAGTCGACAACGGAAAACGACTGGTCCCAGCTAGTACATTCTCATCCTGTGACCGAAAACCAGTGAGCCGATGCATCATGTCCAGGTACTGCACACCTGTCATCACTCTCATGCCATGCGACAGAGCAATGGGGTGTCCATCAACGGGCAGCCCATATAAAACCTCCACGTCCTGCAGTGTGATGGTGGCCTCACCAATGGGCAGGTGGAATGTGTGCATCTCCGGTCGCCACCGCTCTATCAGGGCCGTGACCAAAGACCGATCAAGCTGCAGCCGCCCGATCTCCAAAATCCTGTAGAAACCCGACTCCCGCAGGCGTGTGACTACACGGGGATGGAGAACTCTGTCATGCAGAAAGTCCCACATGTCGTCCACTCTCCTGACGTGGAGAGTCTGGGTCAGTAACTCTCCTTCCCATATGTGGGCGGACCTATGATCGCCCTGTAACGACAGTAGCTCATCAATGGAAGGTCCGGGATGAATAGATGACACCTCCATGTCGTCTACTATAAATTAAACAACATCAATTACATGTCAGTTTTATAATTTTATATGTTTGTTTGTAAATTAAATAATTAATTTTTATAATTATACAATACTTAATTATTATGTATTCACATATGGGTTCCAGGCTCGATATTTGAGGCCCAGTAGCACCAGGATATCCTAATTTCTTCTATGTGTTAGTTTTATTATTTTACATGTTAGTTTTATAATTTTATATGTTTGTTTGTAAATTAAATAATTAATTTTTATAATTTTAATTATTAAATATTCACATATGGGTTTCATGCTCGATATTTGCAGCCTAGTAGCATCAAGATATCCTGAATTCTCGTATGTGTTAGTTTATTATAATTTTATATGTGTGTTTTATAATTTTATATGTTTGTTTGTAAATTAAATAATTAATTTTTATAATTATACAATATTTAATTATTAGATATTCACATATGGATTCCCGGCTCGATATTTGCGGTCCAGTAGTACCACTATATGTTCACTATAATTGGACAGAGTTTGTGTTTGATCTATCAGTTATTTTGACGTATTTTTGAGTATAAGAGATACTTAAACTACAGGGAAACTACGCACTACTTAAAAGGCACTACATTTTACTACGTTAAAAGGCACTACATTTTACTACGCTAAAAGACACTACATTTTACTACGCTAAAAGGCATTACATTTTACTACCCTAAAAGGGCACTATATTACTAGTCTTTAAGCAAATAAATAATATAAACCAGATAAAAAACAACAAATATATCTAATCACAAAACATTCACGAAAATACATATACAACAGTAAAAAAAACTTATTAACATTTTTTTTAACAAATAATAATGATTTATCAATTTTTACATATTTTTTTAGCACACTAATATCTAAGTCCGGATAAAGATAACATACTACTTTAATCGCAAAAAAAAATAATATAAATCAACATAGAACACATGTCAAACAACTAATATGCATTTTTTATACGAGTTTCGACAAAAATTAAATTGGAATAGCTCGATTTATATTTTTTGGAATGTTGAAGAATTGAAGATTTTATTCCGAAACGAGCAACCACAGCGAGAGAAGGCCTTAGCTAGGATGTGGGACCAACACTATTTACTTTTTATGTGACGGGTGGGGTCCACTCGAGCTTTTAATCTCGTTGGGGGGGGGGGACCACTATTCTATTTTTATAATTGGGGTTTTGGTTTTTGAGAGTGGGGGAAGGGAAGGGGACGACATTTGAAGAGGCAAAGCGCGGTTTATTAAGGCGTTTTAGTAAAACGTCCCTTTGAACCACGTTTTAACTAAACGTCCAATCTCTTCAGGTAAAACGTGGTTCAAAACTGCGTTTTATATATTTTGGTCACTAAATTTTTTTTCCAACCTACTTATATATTTTGAATCCAAAAAGACAACATTTAGGTTCTGGACTCCTTTAGAGAGCAGGGTCGTCCCTTGACCGTGGAAAGTTGGGATGAAATGAATCATAAAATTCTTTATCTATACAGTTTAACAGAATGCTTTGATTCCAATTTTAAAACTAAGAATAAGATGATAATGCTAGCTATAATTTGTAAGTATCCGTCATCCAATTCAAATTTGTAGCTGGGTCAACTACGTAGCAGATCTCTAACTAAGAATAAAATTACTCTCTGGGTCAACTCCTCCAAATTTGGTAGGAGAGACAAAACCAAAAACCAAAAGAAGGAAAAAAAGGATAAAAAGTCAATAAACAGCAACTACCAGTCTACCACCTATCATATGCATGAACCAAATCCCCGTGACTCCCTAGCGCCCAAACTTATATAAAGCCCCCTCTTCCTACTCACTCTTCGTCCTCAGTCTTTTGAAGTGAGTTGTAACTTTGATTCAAAATTAAAGCCGCCATAGAATAAACTCTTACCTTGTTCAACCATGGAAGCTGTAACTTTGCTCTCCAAATGCACCATCTTCCCTTCACAAAAATCTTCTCTCTCTGACCTTAAACTCTCTGTTTCCGACCTTCCTATGCTTTCCACTCACTACATTCAGAAAGGTGGTCTCTTCGCTCGTCCTCCTTTCTCCATCACCGACCTCCTTTCCCTCCTCAAACGCAGCCTTTCTCGAACTCTTACCCAATTTCCTCCCCTGGCCGGTCGCCTTGTCACTGACTCTGACGGCTACGTTTACATTTCTTGCAATGATGCTGGCGCTGATTTCATCCACGCTGCCGCTACTCACATTTTTGTCCGTGACGTCATTGGTTCAATTGACGTTCCTGACCATGTCAAGGAGTTCTTCACTTTTGACAGAACTGTGAGCTATCAAGGCCATTTCAATCCTCTTCTTGCTGTCCAAGTTACGGAGTTAGCCGACGGTGTCTTTATTGGCTGCTCCGTCAACCACGCCGTTATCGATGGAACGTCGTTATGGAACTTCTTCAATACATTCGCTGATGTCACTAGGGGTGTGAAAGGGATTACGAGGCAACCGGACTTTAGCCGTGATTCTGTTTTAATATCTCCGGCGGTGCTTAAAATTCCGGCTGGTGGTCCCAAGGTTACCTTCTCTTTGGACGCACCCTTGAGGGAAAGGATATTTAGTTTCAGCAGGGAATCTATTCTAAGGCTGAAAGATAAGACCAACAACAATCACAAATGGAATTTGGACGGAGAAATTGACATCGTTGAGTTGATGGGGAAACAGAGTAACGATCCCTTCAAAATGTCTGACGGCAAAGTAACGACGTTAACTTGGTTGAGGAATGCGGTTAGGAAAACAGAAACAGAAGGTATAACTGAAAATCAAACGGCTGAGATCTCATCATTTCAATCACTTTGCGCATTTCTTTGGCGTGCGGTGACACGTGCGAGGAAATTTCATGCTTCCAAAATGACGACATTTCGGATGGCCGTTAATTGCCGGCATAGACTCCAGCCAAAGCTCCATCCATTATATTTCGGCAACGCTATTCAAAGCATTCCGACTTACGTGTCGGCCGGTGACGTTTTATCTCACGATTTACGGTGGTGCGCGGAGCAGTTGAACGAGAACGTGAAGGTGCACGATAACGATATGGTGAGGAAGTACGTAGAGGATTGGGAGAGTGACCCACGGTGTTTCCCACTGGGGAATTTCGACGGAGCTATGCTCACAATGGGGAGCTCTCCAAGATTTCCAATGTACGACAATGATTTCGGGTGGGGCAGACCCATCGCTGTCCGGAGCGGGCGGGCCAATAAATTTGACGGCAAGATATCAGCATTTCCAGGAAGAAAAGGGGGCGGCAGCGTGGATTTGGAGGTGGTGTTGGCACCGGAAACAATGGCTGGATTAGAGTCCGACCCGGAATTCATGCAATTTGTTACTGGGTATTAAATGCTGAAATTGGGATGGGCATAGACGGTGGGGTGTTTTTGTTGTACTACTACTACTACATGTTAAAGAAGTGGTTTCCGGTTAATGAACTAATGTCAAGAATACTCTAGGGAGCAAAGTGGTACGTAAATACATGAGACTGCGCATAGGGCATCACAGGGATAATATTACACATTCAAACCTTTCAAAAGTATGTCAACAACATATCACTTTAGATGGCATGTTCTTCACATCAAACAGGGGTATAAATGCTGAAAATTTCATTTCAAAAGTTTTATAAAGAATCCACGTATCTAATTTTTAATTTTTTTTTTCCTTTTTACACCAATTAACAAATAAAAAGAGAAAGAAAAAATAACCCCTCCCGCTCTTGTCTTCTTCCCCATCCCAACCCCCCAACCCCCACCCCGTGTGTCTTCTTATGCCTTTCCCCCCTTCGTCTNTCTAGTGTTTTGTTAGAAATTAGAAAATATTTTTTAGAAAAATAATTTTTTATGCTACTCTCCTCACACCCTTCCCTCAAGTTTCCATGTTTTCTGTGCTCTCCCCCTCCCCCAAATACTCAACGTTTTCATGACTCTATTTTCTTCAAAAATTTAATTATTCTTCTAAAAATTAACACAAACCCAAAAGAACTAATGTGCTGCTTTATTTTTTTACGCAAAAACAACATTGAAATTTGTGCTCCATAACTAAAAAGAAAATACTCTTTTTTGGCTGAAAAGAAAGTACTATTTCTACAACATGAAAAGTAAAGTACTTATTTTGTTGAAATGAAAGAAAATACTTTTTCTAGATCATGAAAAGAAAATATTTTGTTGAAATGAAAGAAAATATTTTTTCTACATCATGAAAAGAAAATAGTCTTTTTTGATAAAATGAAAGAAAATATTTTTTACTACCTTATCTTGTTGAAAAGAAAATATGTTTTACCACATTATTTTTTTGAAATGAAAAAAAAGAAATACTTTTTCTACATCATGAAAAGAAAGTACTATTTTTGTTAAAATAAAAAATATACTTTTTTATATAATGAAAAGAAAATGCTCATTGTTGAAATGAAAAAAAAAAGTACCCTATCTATAACATGAAAAGAAAGTGATATTAATAATATTTCTATTTAAGATGGGGTGAGGGTGGGGGTGGGGTGGGTTGGTGGGGATGAAGAATATGGTGGGAAAGGTTAAAAAAGAGTTTTGGAATATTTTTCCTTCTCTTGATAGCGAAAATATTTTCCTCCAATTTAAAAAAAGTAAGTTGATCAGAAAAATATTTTGAAAAATGTTTTCTTTACCGAACACACCCTTAGTCTTGTCGTTTTTGTAGGATTGGTAACGATGATTTACTATTTTGCTTTTTGAGTCATTGTTGACTTTCAAGATGAAAATTACTAGTATTAGAAAAGAGTCTCACGTACTAATGTTTGTTTTATCAAATGAAATGAAAAACTTGGATTCAAAACCTATATTAAAAATTCATCTACCTTAATCAGATTTAATTTACGAAATATTTAACAAAAGATATTAGAAACATCTCATTAAGAAGAAAGAAGCTACTTTGAAATAGTGAGGGAGAAGAAAGTGATGCTTTGGGCGTGATATTATGCAGTCTTAAGGAGAAAGATGAGCCTCCAGGATATTAATTAACTGATGCATTTTTGTTTCCAAATTTGGTTTACTCTTTGATAAATGTTTAAAGGTGACAAGACCACTTCTTCCAAATTAAGAGAGAACTTTTGGAGTATGTCTTTTGAACTTAAATTTGAATAGAAATGTCTTCATCACCAAAGAAGTAAAGTGTGTAAAATGCAAACTACCAAGTACCACCATCTCATGAAAGGGTAATGCTTTTGGACATCAAAAATATAAGCAACGTGTATTTCAGGACAAATAATAAAATATGTATTTTTACAGTAACAATTTGTATATATGTAATTGATGACAACAAGAACGAAGGACCATTACTAAAATGCACCTAATTTGTGATGTATATACAATCATAAGAAATTAAATTACCCCCTATTTTGTACTTTTGAGTGACATATATATGTAATGGAAAAGAGAAAATTGAGAGAGTAGAAATTAAAGATAGTTAGTCGATGAACTTTACATATACTCTTTTATTAGAAGAATTTATTTTATTTTATTTTATTTTATTTTTATTTATTTATTTTGAAAATAAAACAAACTAATACTATATAATAACAATAATAATAGACTAGTTTGTTAAACTTCTCATGAGCTACGAGTACTGTAACCTACGCTTTAGAACGCCATAAGCACAAAAACAGAAAATATATACTCCTCCGTCTCATATTAACAATCGTTGTTACTAAAAATAGTTATTTCAAATTATTTGTCATTTTAAAAGTTTAAAACAAAATCAATTGTTTTTTCCTGTTTCACACATAGTAATAATTGTTCTTGAAGATGGAAATAACACAAATAAAATAAATATTCAATGAAAGATTATATCTTAAGACATAAATAAGGATAGAATAATCTAATTTCTTTCCTAATTAATATTTTTTTGTTTTATAATAATTTAGATAAAAATACATAACCAGTGGCGGAGGCAGGATCTTCACAATTTTTGGATAACTAGTGGGAATAGAACCCATGACCTTATGTAGATTTTGAACACCCTTGACCACTAAACTACACTTTTGGATTGTATTAAGGGTGTTCAAAACTTAATATATAGATGTAAAAAACATATTTTGCCTTATATATACAATGTAATTTTTCAGCGAAGGGTGTTCGGGTGAACACCCTTGCGCCCCTAAATCCGCCCCTGTACATAACCTATTTTTATTTTTTCTGCATAGGTCGAAGCTTCATTGGAATTGAAGAGGAAGACATGAATATCAGGAGGGAATCAAGGCTTGCTCCCCATTTCATGATAGCAAAATCAGTTGCCTTTGCATCCACTCCACGCAATGCCTACATTTCCTTCATCTATTTTCAGATTTCTTCCTTAATTAACCCCTATTTTTATCCTTTCTACTGTCTATAAGATACACATCTTTTCAGAAAAAAACACGCACACCTACAAGTACAAATGTTAAAATTCGAAAACCCATCCACGTGTAGTTGAAATTACTTAATCTGTTAATTCAAAATTATGCTAATCTCTTCTTTATCGAGTGAGAGCCAAGGGTATTGAGCTATTCGAGGACACCAGAATAATATTCAAGATACGAACGTATGCACTTGCACCTTTCAATGTAATTCCTCTTTTTGTAATTTGCGTCATAATCTTTCAGGATTCTAACTCAACGAGTCAACTGCATGCCACACGATCCTCTCTATTGATCCTCCTCCTCGTTGTTCGTGCTTTCCTCATTTTTCAGTTTTAACTTTATTAACCAAGAAATGGGTACGTATACAAACGTACGTGGGATACGCTGAAATGAACATGTGTCCATAACCTTTCCCTCCTCCTTCCAGCAATTCACCCATTAAACTGCCACATGTGAACAGCTCAACTTAGAAAGCGGCCGTGCCTTTGCATCTGCTACATTTTGCTTGTATAATTAATTAATAATCTTATGCATATATTGTAAGTGTCATTACAAGAAAAATTATTTGTTCCATATCTGCTTCTCTTCATAATATGATTAATTGAAATGATGATAAATCACCGAGGATAAGTTCAGGGGCAGATCTAGAGTATGGCGTACTGGTTTTATGAAATTCGGTTGTTTTTGTTTCGATTTTATTTATATATTAAGAAGTCTATTAACTATTTATAAATATTTAACTATAAATTTAGAGCCTTTGGATTGGCCTAAAAGAAGTTACTTTTCAAAAGAAATAACTTTTAGGCCAAAAGTAATAAATTGGGGCTGCCCAACTTATTACTTTTTATTTGTTTTAAACAGTTTTTAATTTATTTTAAGTATTTTTTAACTTTGTCAAATATTAAAAAAAAGCTAACAAAAAATTTAAAAGCGGAATTGACCAACTTAAAAGTCAATTCAAATACCCTCTTATTTATTAAGATAAATATATTTAAAATTGATATAAAAATTCGTAAACTTTAAATCCCCGAGCCGTTGGGGGTAAAATGAATGAGAAACTTTAATATCCAATTGAGTATTTGTCACCAATTATTCAGTTTAGATATTTATAGCTTGGCAATGCCATCCAGTCATATAGTATAATCTTTGGGTATCCGTCATCAAATAAAATCAGAATACTAGGTGGGTCAACTCCTCCAAATTTGCTAAGAGAGAGAAAAGAGATGAGCCAAAAAACAAAAAGAAAATAAAAAGAGAAGAAAATCAATAAACAGCAACTACCACTAATCAAATGCATGAACCAAGTCCCAAGACTCCCCAGCGCCCAACCTTATATAAAGCCTCCCTCTTCCTACTCACTCATTCATCCTCAGTCCTCACTTCACTCCTAATTCGAAGTGAGAACTTTGCTGAGTTTCTCTCTACAAACAAATTAATTAAAGCCGCCATTAAAACCCTTTATCCAAAAGCTTTAAACATTAACAATGCCTTGTTCAACCATGGAAGCTGTAACTTTGCTCTCCAAATGCACCATCTTCCCTTCACAAAAATCTTCTCTCTCTGACCTTAAACTCTCTGTTTCTGACCTTCCTATGCTTTCTACTCACTACATTCAGAAAGGTGGTCTCTTCACTCGTCCTCCTTTCTCCATCACCGACCTCCTTTCCCTCCTCAAACGCAGCCTTTCTCAAACTCTCACCCAATTTCCTCCCTTGGCCGGTCGCCTTGTCACTGACTCTGACGGCTACGTTTACATTTCTTGCAATGATGCTGGCGCTGATTTCATCCACGCCGCCGCTACTCACATTTTTGTCCGTGACGTCATTGGTTCAATTGACGTTCCTGACCATGTCAAGGAGTTCTTCACTTTTGACAGAACTGTGAGCTATCAAGGCCATTTCAATCCTCTTCTTGCTGTCCAAGTTACGGAGTTAGCCGACGGTGTCTTTATTGGCTGCTCCGTCAACCACGCCGTTATCGATGGAACGTCGTTATGGAACTTCTTCAATACATTCGCTGAATTGACCAGGGGCGTGAAGAGGATTACGAGGCAACCGGACTTTAGCCGTGACTCTGTTTTGATATCTCCGGCGGTGCTTAAAATTCCGGCTGGTGGTCCCAAGGTTACCTTCTCTTTGGACGCACCCTTGAGGGAAAGGATATTTAGTTTCAGCAGGGAATCAATTCTAAGGCTGAAAGATAAGACTAACAACAATCACAAATGGAATGTGGACGGAGAAATTGACATCGCTGAATTGATGGGGAAACAGAGTAACGATCCCTTCAAAATATCTGACGGCAAAGTAACGACGTTAACTTGGTTGAGGAATGCGGTTAGGAAAACAGAAGCAGAAGGTATAACTGAAAATCAAACGGCTGAGATCTCATCATTTCAATCACTTTGCGCATTGCTTTGGCGTGCGGTGACACGTGCGAGGAAATTTCATGCTTCCAAAATGACGACATTTCGGATGGCCGTTAATTGCCGGCATAGACTCCAGCCAAAGCTCCATCCATTATATTTCGGCAACGCTATTCAGAGCATTCCGACTTACGCGTCGGCCGGTGACGTTTTATCTCACGATTTACGATGGTGCGCGGAGCAATTGAACAAGAACGTGAAGGTGCACGATAACGATATGGTGAGGAAGTACGTAGAGGATTGGGAGAGCGACCCACGGTGTTTCCCGCTAGGGAATTTCGACGGAGCTATGCTCACAATGGGAAGCTCCCCAAGATTTCCAATGTACGATAATGATTTTGGGTGGGGCAGACCCATCGCTGTTCGGAGCGGACGGGCCAATAAATTTGACGGCAAGATATCAGCGTTTCCGGGAAGAGAAGGCGGCGGCAGCGTTGATTTGGAGGTGGTGTTGGCACCGGAAACAATGGATGGATTAGAATCCGACCCGGAATTCATGCAATTTGTTACTGGGTATTAAATGCTGGATTACGTTAATTGGGATGGGGAAGATGACGGACTTTGTTTGTATTTGGGAAGGGATGATGAGGATGTGACATAGTAGCTAACGTTGTTGTGATTAATTACTGTGTTTGGTTTTATTATTATAAATATAAATATAATCTAATTAATTTGTATTACCAAGTTTTCAACGTGACGGTTGCATTTTGTTTGAAAAAATGAAATAGGCCACTAGTAATTGATACAGAAAAGGTTGATATGAAGATGGATAATAAATGTTGACGTAGTTAAAGCCATGCTTCAATTAAAGTACTGCCATGACATAAAAATAAATGGTTGTCATTATTTGACACATTGTAAAAGATGGGGTTGTTAGAGTTTGTTATTTTCGTAATTTTTAATTTACACACTCTTCAATTAGTATATCTATTACCAGTTTGAAGAGGTAAAACTTGTAAGTAAATCCTTTTTGTTTGGTTCTTAGAAGTGATAACCAGGATAAGAGCACAAAACTTATCTTGATGAGTCATCACTGGACAAGATTATTCACATCAATTAATAGGAACAACTGTTACCATTTTTTTTAATAATAATAACAATAATAATAATAGTAATAATAATGAATTTAGTAATTAAATCACTATGGCTCGTTCGTCTTTCAACATAAGGGAAACAAAGAGCCTGTTTGGATTGATTTATTTTAAGTGACTTTTAAGTCAAAATAGCTTTTAAGTTATAAGTTAGGAATTCTAACTTTTGGCTTTTGGCTTGTTTTTATCATTTTAGCTTAAAAACAAATATTTAAAAGCACTTTTTACTCTATTCAAACACTAGAAAATAGCTTAAAAGTTATTTTGGCTTAAAAACATTTAAAATAAGCCAATCCAAACGGGTTCAAAGTAAACATAAAGGGATTTTTTCTTATCTATACCATATATGAAACCTTATTACCAAAAATGTGCATAATTTCTAAATTACCCGCCCAGTCCACATTATTTCTACAGTTTTTGTACCAATCATTAAAAGCTAATTGATAGCCGTTGTATCTTCCTATTTATGCGAGCTAAATTTTAGGAGAAGAATATTCTGAACAGATTTGGCATGAATATTCTGAACAGATTTAGGAGAAGAATATTGAAACGGAAAGGAGATTTCTGTTTTTCATCTTCATCTGTTCTTCCATATATTTTCCACCATTGATAGCCATTAAAAAGCTTGAAAGCTTTGAATTCAAATTTTAGTTCTCAAAAATCATTATTTGTTTGGATTGGGTGTTGTTGTAAATAATTCGGAATATGTTTAGGAGTTTATATCTCAATTTTGAGGGGATTGGTGAAGATTAGACTTGGTTTTGACTGAACTTCAGATTGAAACTCGAAGAAGAAGAAGAAGAAGACGACATATTTCCAGAAATTGTAGATAAATTGTAGTTAAATTGTAGAATTGTAGATAAATTGTAGATAAAATGTAGATAATTATAGATAAATTGTAGATTGGGAAGACTAAAACTTCTACAAATCTTCTACAATTATGTCGCCAATTATGCTACAATTGAAATGGGAATTGGGATATTAAAATTCAATGTATTCATTTTGTAGATATCTTGTAGATAAATTGTAGATTATTTGTATTCTGATTGTAGATGAATTGTTTTCTGTTTTCACAAATCCAAAACGACTAAAGCTTCTACAAAATCTTCTACAAAAAACAGTCTACACTTTATCTACAATTTTTCTAATTTTTCTATAATTTATCTACAATTTCTGGAAATATGTCTTCTTCTTCTTCTTCTTCGAGTTTCAATCGACTGTGTTAACCAGTAACCTTCAGCCACTGCCCAAAAATAAAAATAAAAAAAGGTCAATGAAAATAACGATACATTGATGTTTTGTACGTGTAAATAGAGAATTGGTAAATAAGAACTAATCTGAAGATACGGTCGCTAAGTTAAGATTTTTGGGGAAAGTAAATGAGAACTAATCTGAAGATTATTGATGCTACTGTCCATCTCCA